TTAATATGTAACTTAGAAGGAATATAAACACTTGAAGAAACAACTCCCTCACTTCATGCTGACAGGAGAATAAATGTCTGTGTCATCTTCCAGACACATGAAAGGGAGTTAAACTATCTTCTCCAGCTCCAGTTTCCAAACACTCCAAAAATAGAGTGATTATGTTTAGAGAAGCAAACCTTAAAGAAAATTGCCTCCATGAAACTTGAAGAAGGAAACGCAGAATGCCAGGCCATCATAACATGCTCCTGAGACAAGCATTTCAGCTCAGTCAGTGGCAAGATACATTGACTTAAAGGGGCAATGTTTTCATGGCCAAATGATCATAGCTTAATGGAGTTTTCTGTGAGCAAACTAGAAAAAAAATAAAGTGAGGGAGATAGTTATCATTGTTGTTCAGTCACTCAGTCATGTCCTACTCTTTGAGATCCCATGGATTGCAGCATGCAATGCTTCCCTGTCCTTCACCATCTCTGGGAACTTGCTCAAACTGATGTCCATCAGGTCAATGATGCCATCCAACCATCTTGTCCTCTGTCATCCCTTTCTCCTCCTTCCTTCAATCTTTCCCAGCATCAGGGTCTTTTCTAATGAATTGGCTCTTCATATTAGGTGGCCAAAGTACTGGAGTTTCAGCTTCAGCATCAATCCTTCCAAAGAATATTCAAAGTTATCTCCTTTAGGATTGACTTGATTGATCTCCTTTCAGGCTAAGGGACTCTTAAGAGTCTTCTACTGCACCACAGTTCAAAAAGATCCGTTCTCCAGTGATCAGCCTTCTTTATGGGTCCAACTATCACATCCATACATGACTACTGGAAAAAACATTGCTTTGACTAGACAGACCTTTGTCACTGAAGTAATGTCTCTGCTTTTTAATATGCTGTCTAGGTCTGTCATAGCTTTTCTTCCAAGGAACAAATGTCTTTTAATTTCATGGCTGCAGTCACCATCTGCAGTGATTTTGGAGCCCAGGAAAATAAAGTCTGTCACCATTTCCATTGTTTCCCCATCAATTGTTTCACTATTGCCATTTAGTGATGAGACTGGATACCATGATCTTAGTTTTTTGAATGTTGAGTTTTAAATCAGCTTTTGTCTCTCTTTTACCTTCTTCAAAAGGCTGTTTAGTTCCTCTTCACTTTCTGCCATAAGGGTGGTGTCATCTGCATATCTGAGGTCATTGATAATTCTCCTGGCAATCTTGATTCCAGCTTGTGCTTCNGGCCTGGTGCGCTGCAGTTCATGGGGTCGCAAAGAGTCGGACACGACTGAGTGACTGAACTGAACTTTGCATATAAGTTAAATAAACAGGGTGACAATATACAACCTTTACATACTCCTTTCCCAATTTTGAACCAGTCTGTTATTCCATGTCCAGTTCTAACTGTTGCTTATTGATTTGCATACAGGTTTCTTAAGAGGCAGATCAGGTGGTCTGGTATTCCCATCTCTAAGAATTTTCCAGTTTGTTGTGACCCACACAGTCAAAGGCTTTAGTGTAGTCAATGAAGCATAATTAGGTGTTTTTCTGGAATTCTCTTGTTTTTTCTATAATCCAACAGATGTTGGAAATTTGATTTCTAGGTCCTTTGCCTTTTCTAAAACAAGCTTGAACATCTGGAAATTCTCAGTTCAGGTACTGTTGAAGCCTAGCCTGGAGAATTTTGAGCATGAAGCTGAAGTTGAATGATTCTATGAAGACCTACAAGGCCTTCTAGAAATAACACCAAAAAATGATGTCTTTTTCATCATAGGGGATTGGAATGCAAAAGTAGGAAGTCAAGAGATACCTGGAGTAACAGACAAGTTTGACCTTGGAGTACAAGATGAAACAGTACAAAGGTTAATGGAGACTTGCCAAGAGAATGCACTGGTCATAGCAAACATTCTCTCAAAGGACACAAGACACAACTCTACACAGGGACATCACCGGATGGTCACTATTGAAATCAGATTGGTTATATTCTTAGCGGATGTAGATAGAGAAGCTCTATACAGTCAGCAAGACAAGACCAGGAACTGACCGTGGCTCAGATCATGAACTCCTTATTGCAAAATTCAGAGAAAGATAGTAACCTCTACAATTAAACTTCTTCAGGCTGCTAATTCTTCTGCAAGTTGATTAATAAAGAATATATGCTGCCACACTTTCTAAAGTGTGAATTTATGTCCTCAGTCATGGAATAATCAATCATACAGATAGCTCAAGTAACTAGCTTTGTTCTTAAAACAACTGTTGCATCTTAAAGAAACAACAAAAGTGTTGAGTCTTAATCCACCTTAATTCTTCTAAGATAAGTGAGCTGAGAATGTGAGATCAAAGGCACTGGCTCCATCAGATGACTCATTAACTGCTCCATCACTTATGAAATGTGACACTTTATGCAAGCTACTTTAAGAACCTTGCTGAGAATCAGTTCCTTCAGCTATACAATGGGACTGATAATAGTATGTACCTAAGTCGGATTATTGAAAAGGCTAAAGGGAAGCATTCTTACTTGTGCCTGCACAAAATAAGTGTTCATGAAATGTTAATTTTTATTATATTCAAGTTACACAGAAAATATATGACTTAGTAGGCCATTCCATTCCTACAAGTTACCCTTTATTGGTGCCTCTATATCTTAACATTGTATGAACCTATCCCCAAAGAACAAAGGGATTTCCTATGACTCAGCAGGTAAAGAAATCACCAGCAATAAAGGAGACTCCGGAGATATGGGTTCAGTCCCTGGGTTGGGAAGATCTCCTGAAGGTGCAACTGGCAAGCCATTCCAGTATTCTCATATGAAAAATCCCAATGGACAGAGGAGTCTGGCAAGCTAAAGTCCAAGCAAAGAGTTGGACACAGCTAAGTGACTAAACACAAAAGAACAGGGACAAAGTCTTTCATGAAAAGAATTACAGAAATATCAAAGATAAAATTGCAATAATTAATAAGGAATCAATAGTCAAAAACTGCAAATATAGGATATTAACTGATTTTAAAAATATTTTCCAGGCAAAACATTTTTTGACATAAATTGCACCAGTGTTTTTTAGTTCAGTTTCCCAAGGCAATAGAAACAAAACCAAAAATAAACAAATGGGACCTAATGAAACCTAAAAGCTTTTGAGTAGCAAAGGACACCATAAACAAAATGAAAAGATAACCTATGAAATGGTAGAAAATATTTGCAAATTATATGACTGACAAGGGCTTAATTTCCAAAATATATAAGCAGTTCATGTAATTCAACAACAAAGAAACAAACAACCCAATCAAAAAATAGATATTTTTGATAGATAGTATAGATATTTTTCCAAAAAAGACATACAGGTGGCTAATAGGCATATGAAAAGATGCTCAACATCAATAATTATTATAGAAATGTGAATCAAACTGCAATGAGGTACCACCTCACACCAGTCAGAACGGCCATTACTAAAAACTCTACAAGTAACAAGAGCTGGAGAGGGTGTGGAGAAAATACAGCCATTTTACACTGTGGGACTATAAGTTGGTGCAGCCACTATGGAAACAAGGATGGAGGTTTCTCAAAAAAAAAAACAAAAAAAACCCAAATATACAGTTGCCATATGATCCAGCAATCTTACTCCTGGGCATATATCCAAAAAACAACTATAATTCAAAAAGATGCATGCATCCCTATGTTCATAGCAGCACTATTTACAGTATCCAAGGCATGGAAACAACATAAATGTACATAGACAGATGAATGGATAAAGAAAATGTAGTACACATATACAATGGAATATTACTCAGTCATCAAAAAGCATGAAACAATGCCACTTGCATCAACACAGATGGACCTAGAGATTATCATACCAAATGAAGTAAGTCAGAAAGACAAATGCCATATGATATCACTTATATGTGGAATCTAAAATACAATACTAATCAACATATCTATGAAAGATAAACAGACTCAGATACAGAGAACAGACTTCTGGTTATGTCGGGGAGAGGAGGGAAAGAATGTGAGTTTGAGATTAGGAAAGGCAAACTATTATATATAGGGTACATAAACAACAAGGTCCTACTGTATAGTACAGGAAGCTATATTCAATATTCTGTGGTAAACTAATGGAAAAGAATGTGGAAAAGTTACATATATGCATAACTGAGTCACTCTGCTGTACAGAAGAAATTAATGCAGCATTCTAAGTCAACTATACTTCAGTAAAATTAAAAATGTATTTTCCATTTTCATACAAAGATTTTCTACAATCTTTTCACAAATCAGTATCACCAGTGAAATCAAAGTGTCCTAATTCTTTTCTTCCCAACATTTGGAGCCATATAATATGCTCCTTATCTTCATTTTCTCTTTTACCTTTTTAAGCAGAAACATGTCTAAAATATCCAACTTTATCTTCTAAGAATATTAAATTGAACTGTGCTACTTAAAGAATATTTATTTTGCTATACTCTGGTTACACTTTCAATTTTTTTTTTTGAAAAAAAAAAAAAGAGGGAAAAGGCAAATGTTTTAGACTTTCAAAAAAAGGACTTTTTGCCAGGTTTGGAAGAAGAAGAACATGGTGAAAGAACACATTATCTTTGGGAAAACAGCAGGAGGCAAACCAGATCATCACTCATCACTAACAGAAGCTAAATAACACAGTAAGGTACTAAGACATGCTGATTTTGCCAGGGAAAAATGAAGCAGAACCAACACATTATAATGAGGATGATCTTGGTACCAAAAAAGCCGCTTTAACGGTGGGCATACATTTGAATCCTAGTGTGACCATTTTAGGTTCTTTTTCCTTGCTCATACTCCCAGGATAAAGGCCTTAAAAAAAGCACTGGTATTTTAAATTGCTCTGTCTCACTTGCTGAATTTTGTTTGTTTGTTTGTTTCTTTCTTAGGCAAAATTATTTTCCCATGTGACAAGAAGGATGCTTTGGAGAGCTGCACTGTGAAAGTGCAGAGAACAAAAGTGACGGCAGTCCTGGAAGATTAGAACAATGACAAGGGAAGAGAACTTACCTGTGGGCACGTGCTCCAAGGTCCCCACTCAGACATGACACATTCGTTGGGACACAGAAGAGAGCAGGACTGGGTTTCTGGGGGAATCTCATTCTGGTTGCACAGGCTGTTATCCACAGCTCCCCCTTCACCATCAGCAGCATTCATGCACCTATAATGCAAGATCATAAGATAGCTTAAACACTTAAAACAGTGAGGAGTAAATTTAAAATAGTTATGATATATCCTAATTACTTACCCCTCAAAGATAATTAAACATAAAATAAGATTGATAGAGAAACCAGGGCAAAAAAAAAACACAAAAAAACCATTCAGTCAGCCAGGCTTTGAGTAAGTGAAAGTCGCTCAGTCGGGTCCAACTCTTTGCGATCCCATGGACTACACAATCCATGGAATTCTCCAGGCCAGAATACTGGAGTGGGTAGCTTTTCCCTTCTCCAGGGGATCTTCCCAACCCAGGGATAGAACCCAGGTCTCCCGCATTGTAGGTGGATTCTTTACCAGCGGAGCCACAAGGGAAGCCCAACCAGGCTTTATTGAGTAGTAACTCAGGGCAGAGCCATTCATTCAGCAGAGCAGGAAAAGACTAGACAATACTCATCTTTGAAGAACTCTCCATCTAAAGAGATCTACAATATATTTACTTAGGTCTTTTCAGTGTAACAAATCTTGAACACTCTCCTCTGAATAAATCCATCGCTTTGTAATAACTAGGCCTTGCATTGTTCCTATGACTCTCTCAGACGTTTCCTGGACTTCTAGCTCAGAGCATCTAAGGTTCCCCAGTTTTTGTTCAATATACTTAAGGTCATGGCAAAGTACTGAAAAAACAATTGAACATATTTTTCTTTTAGGTATTTTCTGCATTTCAGTAAGGAATTTTCATATAATAAACCAAAGGGCAACATACAGGCATTTTCATGCAGCAGTTGAGCATGTGCTACTGATGCATGTATTATTGTTGCTTTAAGATAAATGCTGATGAGGATGGGATAAATAATCATGCTGCTGATTTAACCAAATTAAAACCAAACTGTTATACTGCTATATACCTGCCAGAATGGCTTATATCAAAAACATGGAAAATAGCAAGGATTGGCAAGAATATGGAGCAACTGTAACTCTTCTCACTCTGCTGGTGGGAGCATAAACTCTTTGGCAAACTAATTGGTAGTATGTCTATTAAAACTAAACATATAAACACAATGTAACCCAACAGTCCCACTTCTATTTATATACAGAAGACAAATGTGGATCCCACTCCACCACAAAAAACAAACAAACAAACAAAAAAACCTGCCTGGAAATGTTTATGGCATTACTATTTATAATTAGCCAAAGTGAATTAATAGTAGTATATCTACAATAGCTATTCAGCCACAGTAAAATAGACAAATATATTGTGATAAACTCATTGAATTAAGTGCTATTAAGTAATAAGAATTCATTTAACTATTGTTGCATGAAAGAGCATGAGTGGAGCTCACAACCACAATGTTGAACGAAAGAGGCTGGACGCAAAAAGAGTACAGACTGCACAGTTCCCTTCATAGACACTTAACAGGCAATCCTCATCTATGGTGTCAGAAGCCAGAATAGCACTTACCCTTGTGGGAATGGTTATCGACTGATAGGGGCTTACGTAGTCCTGGTAAAACTTTGTGTCTTGACCTCTGGATTGGTTACACAGATGCGTTCATATTGTGAAAATTCATGGAGCTGTACCCTATGCTGTGGGCAATTCTCTCCATTTATATTATATCCCAACTCAAAGTTAATGTTTAAATTATTTTCTCAAAACTATTTAATAGAGACTTGCTGTATATAAGCCTCTTTTGTTTGGTGTTGGAATACAAAGTGATTTGTTAATAATGATTCATTTATTACATATTTTGAGGGGTTTACTTTGTGCCATGCCCTTACTTGGGTGCTAGGGTACAGAACTGAGAAAAAAAGGACAAGATTCCTTCTTCCAATGATAATGATCAAAGAAAAGGTGAAGATGACAATGATGATAAGATAAATGGTGCCATTTGCTAATCTGCTCCTTTCAGATACAAAGCCACAGCCAAGGAATAAGCAACTTAAGAAGGCTGTGCTGGAGAGCTTTCGCTGGAAAAGCTTTTAGCTTTTCCAAATCATGCTATGCTGGAATGAATTATCCTATGCGTTAGGAGTTTCCTTTATATAATTTTTTTTTATTAAGGAAAACTGCACCATAGTCTATGACCTGGTACAAAATAAACTTTATAAGGTGCTAAGTAATTAAAAAAAAAATAGATACTGTATAAAGCAGGGTAACAGAAAATGGTAAACAGAGAGGAGATGTAAGTCATGTCTTCTAATGTAGGGAGGCAAGGTACAGAGTCATCTATAGACTTTAATTTCTCCTGTGGTAATAGTCAATACTGGAAGGAGGAACCACTAAATGGCTTTAATGCCTTTCCCTGGGCAAACTTAAAAGCTGAAAATTGCTTTCCTTCTTGCCTGCACACTCTTCGGCTGGTATTCCTTTATGATTTTGCTGAAAAAAGAAAAGGTAATACTTCTGGTCAATGGTGTCCAGTTGGACATATGCATTAGTCTTTCTCTGCTCCCCATATGCCACAAAAACAATAGCAGAGGAATTTATTACAAAAAAAAAAAAAAACAAAAACAGGGGAGAGGGAAAGGCATTATCTTGCAAGGACAAAAACCACGGGAAAGGACAAAGGCAACGATGGGAAATAGATGGGCTGGTGGTGTCTTAGCACACAAAGAAAACAGATCACTAAACCTTCAAAAGAAAACAAAGAAAGTCATTCCACTGACACATCAGAATGCATAAAAAATTCAGGAATCTGTGGCAGCAAGTACCTTTGGAAATGTGAGTGAAGGTGAGGCAGAAAAACTGGAGGATTTATTGTAAGCATGCTTATGTTTAAGAAGTACCTAAGCTCTGAGATGCCCTTTCCCAATACACAGAGCTAGGCGATGCCCTCAGCCCGGTCCCTGCTGTTAACTGAAGGTTTACTATCTGTATAGGGTCACAAAACAGGTTAGCGAACACATGGCCCAACTAAGGATGGGAACATCATACTGATAACAAGGTTTATGGAAAGTCAACATAGTGAACAAAATGATCACTACCTTCATGACTTAAACAATGCACATTTATTATTTTACAATTTTGTAGATCCAACATGGAACTCACTAGACTAATATCAGCACTCTGGCAAAGCTACATACGTTCCTGGAGGCTCTAGGGCAGAATCGTTTCCTAACCTCTTTCACAGTCTAGAAGCCACTCATGTTCCTTGGGGCCATGGCCCCTTTCTCTCTCCTCAAAGCCTTGTATCTCTCTGTGTCTTGCTTTTTTCCTTTCCCATCCCCTCATCCATTTTTAAGGACACTTGTGAATAAGTTGTTCCCATCCAGAAGATCCAGGACAATCTTCCCTAATCGCATCTGCAAAGACGCTTTTCCTATTTAACGTAACATATCGACAAACTTCAAGGGTTAGAATGTGAATATTTTTGGGAGCTATCATTCTGTTTACCACATTAACCTTCGTTCATTGGGTTCCCAAAATACAGGGTTTTAGGATTATCTATTTAACATGTGATTTAGGAAGAGAGTCTTCCAGTGATTCTGACAAGCACAAAAGTAAAGACTTGTATAGACTGAAACTGAAGGTGTTCTCAAATGAAAATGCCCCTGCAGTTACATATCCTGCATCAAAGTCTTTGCCATATCTCCCTCTTTGGTCATCACTTTCATTTCTACTCAAAGTCATTACAAAACTGCTTTAAAGCTCGGCTATATTCACGATCCCCACATCCCCCTCCTCAATATTACCTCTTGGCCTTACTTAAATCACACTTTTATCATCATTCCAGACAAAACTGATATCATCAACAGACTCCCCTTTGCCAAACTCAATAGTCAATTCTTATTTAAGTAAACTTCTCAGAATATTTGAAACCACTGATTATATTTTCTTTTTTGAAAATCTCTCCTCTTGCCATTTTTGGATTGAGGGCTAGGGTTCCAAATACAGCCACATTCTCAGGTATTGCAGGTTAGTACCTCAAAACATAGATTATTTTTTGTGGGGGGAGACAGAGTTCAACCCATAACACATGATATTTGGTAGCTGTCCTATTTTTATTATACCAGGCTTCATCCATTTGAGCAGAGAGGTATGGCTTAAAGGCCCTCTTGTTCAAGTGTGTTTTTCCTCAATCAACCTGCCACAATTCTGCCGGTAGCAATTTATTCTCTTAAAGCTTTCCTCTCTCTCCTGGGACTTTGCTTTAATACTGCTAAGAGGCCAGGCTGGGATGAGAGTGAGGGATGCCACAGCTCATTTACACGTATTACCTGGTAAGCTAGGCTAGTCAGTCATTTCTCAAAGCCGGGAGAAAATAGGACACAAGAGACAGATTTTGAAGAAAAAGAGGTAGAAGCCCAAGTCTGTGACAGCCTGAGCAACTAGTCCCCAGGGGAAAAGGCAGTGAACAATGGGAAAGAAAGACAATACGTTTATGAACCCTTTGCCTGGGTTGGTGATGAGGAGCACCTCTGCAATTTTGCCAGTGGCTATTTCTTTCAACTGTCTACCAGTGACTTTGTGACAATGGGACCAAGTCTCAGAAATGGTAGATATATACTGAATCACTGAATAAACTAAGTTCACTGGTGTTGAGTAAAACCAACACAAAGAAGTTGGGTGTGCCCTGGCAACTGACTTCAATCTCAAAGATGACTCATTAGGGAGTTACCCAATTCAGGCATGGTGTGTCAATTTGAAATGAAGCTTCCCAAATATAGCCAGTCCATCCTAAAGGAGATCAGTCCTGGGTGTTCATTGGACGGACTGATGCTGAAGCTGAAACTCCACCTCATGCGGTGGTCGCTTTTGGCCACCTCATGCGAAGAGTTGACTCATTGGAAAAGACCCTGATGCTGGGAGGGATTGAGGGCAGGAGGAGAAGGGGCCGACAGAGGATGAGATGGCTGGATGGCATCACTGACTTGATGGGCATGGGTTTGAGCAAACTCCAGGAGTTGTTGATGGACAGGGAGGCCTGGCATGCTGCGATGCATGGGGTCGCAAAGAGTTGGACACGACTGAGCGACTGAACTGAAATATAGCCAAATTACATACTACACTCATGCAACTGAAAAGATGACTATACTATTCTTGATTTCTTCTTGAGCTTACATACTAAATCATTGTTTATGATTAATATTTTGGCTCATGCTTCTTCTCTAACATTCATTGTTATTTTCCCCACTTGATAATAAAATTATCCTCCTTTCTTCCCAAATAATTTCTAAATAGATCTTTTTTTTTTTTTCTTTTGACTGCACCAACCAGCTTGTGGGATCTTAGTCCCCTGATCAAGGATTAAGACTGTGCTCTTGGCAGTGAAAGTGCTGAGTCCTAACCACTGGACCACTGGTTCAGTCAGTTCAGTCACTCAGTAATGGCTGACTCTTTGTGACCCCATGGACAGCAGCATGCCAGGTTTCCCTGTTCATCACCAACTCCTGGAGCTTGCTCAAACTCATGTCCCTCAAGTCACTGATGCCATCCAACCATCTCATCCTCTGTTGAGCCCTTCGCCTCCGCCTTTAATGTTTCCCAGCATCAGGGACTTTTCCAATGAGTTGGCACTTCACATCAGATGGCCAAAACTTGGAGTTTAATATTCAGGATTGATTTCCTTTAGGAATTACTGGTTTGATATCCTTGCTGTCCAAGGGATTCTCAAGAGTCTTTAACACCACAGTTCAAAAGCATCAATTCTTCTGTGCTCAGCTTTCTTTATAATCCAACTCTCACATCCATACATGACTACTAGAAAAACCATAGCTTTGACTAGATGGACCTTTGTTGACAAAGTAATGTCTCTGCTTTTTAATATGCTGTAGGTTGGTCATAGGTTATTCTCATATTACTTTCTGAAGTCTAATTGTGGAGGTTTAAGTTGACTTTTTCAATGTATTGACACCCAAAATTAAGATAATGTCCATCAGCTATACTAACCATAGAGCAAAAGAGTGACCTGGCATCATAGTACAAATCATCTAATTTGTCAGCAGTGACAGCCATACATCACTGGAGGGATGTGATGGTTTTCCAAGAAGTTGGTTTTTCCACTGAAGTCACATGCAGGAAATGTTCAGAATTGTGGCTGCCATGCAGATAGAATCCCACAATACACATGGCAGCTCAAGGGTCTATGCGTTTGGGAATACTTAGAGATGAGCAGGGACTTCCCTGATGGTCCAGTGGCTAGGACTTCATGCTCCCAATGCAGGGGGCCTGGGTTCAATCCTTGGTCAGGGAAATAGATCCCTCATGCTACAGCAAAGACTTGGTGCAGCTAAATAAGTATATAATTTTTTTTTTAAGATGGGCAAAAGCCAGAGGATATGGTTTGAGAGTGTACTTGCATCAGCAACACTGTTGTTTTCATAAAAATATGTAAATTCCACTGTCACATTTCCCAAATGTCTCCATGGCCACACACCTGATTTTCCTAGATTGCGTTCCTCCTCCACAGCGCAGGGACCTCAGCTCATTGTGGATTTTGCATGGAGACCAGTGCTCTACAACCCAGGAATACTGATTGCACTCACTGTAACATGGGACTGCCTCATGCACCTGTCAAGAACAGGAAAGGAGAAGAAAATTATGTGGAACTATCCAAGTCATGGAAAAACAGCCTGTCTTTTAGTAAAGTCTGCTGAACATAATCCAGGAGCTATAGTCTGGCTCTAAGAGCCAAACTGCATTCCCCAAAAGCAAGATATATTTGGCTTCTCTGAAATTACTACTGTATCTAAAAAAACACATGAGGACCATCAACTAGAATATGATAGTGTGCCTTTGCAGAAGAGAAAAAAGGACAGTCATTATCTCCCACCAAGAATAGGAATTCCATTATCTTTTTATCCCCCCAAAGATCTCACACAGCATCTATTAGATGTCCAACTCTCAGTTACATGGTATACTATACTCTCAGACGTACTTTACGAGGTCAATTGAAATAAATATATGTAAGGAAAATTTACTCTTGAATATAAGAGGTTCTCAGAATACATAAGGAAAATGGTATTATTTGTATTAGAAATTTCTTTTTCTATACCCAAATGATCAGTGCTAATAGGCAATCATTCAGCCTTCTGGGCATTGTGGCTTTATATGAATTTAGCTATTTGTAGGATGTTTTCAGAGCATAGCTAAAACACACAGACACACACATACACAAGACAAACACACATACATGATAAACTCTGTGCATGATGACTGACTGTGAATACATACAGATTATATAGTAAAAACAATGAATGCAGTAAATGAATTGTTAGGTTACTTCCTACGCATTTATTTGTGATGAGTTTTTCCTGAAATATCATAACATTGTGTAGGCAATTGCATTTGCCTTTTTAAGAATGAATTTTAAATGCATTACTCCTCAACAGAGAACACTGCATTCCTCCTTGGTAAGAAAAACAGTTGTTCTGTCTTATGATACTAATATGTTGGGGATTTCCCAGTGCTCAGCAGTAAAGAATCAACCTGCAATGTAGGAGAGGCAGGTTCAATCTCTGGGTCAGGAAGATCCCCTGGAGGAGGAAATGACAACTCACTCTGGTATTCTTGCCTGGGAAATCTGGTAGACAGAGGAGCCTGGTGGGTTACAGCCCACGGCATCGCACAAGAGTCGGACACGACTCAGCAATGTGGTATTTTACTCTCGATCACAAAGGTGGCTCCAGTGTAGCATGATGATGAGTAGTGATTCTAACTATTACTAAAATAGTTATTTAATGCTTTCCCTTTTAAATAAGAACTTGAGCCTCATGTCTTTCCTCTCCTGGCCTTTCCAGTTCCATAAAATTGTAAATGATGACTAGGCAGTGCTATCCAAACAGAACCAATCCTTGCAAGTTTCCTCTAAATGTAAGGGAAAGCACTATGTAATGGGATAATCAGAAACCAAGATTGGAGCACTGTCAGCATGTGAGATGGAAATCAGATGAGAAAAGGTTATTTGCGAGACTACATCTCAGGAATCACAAATAATGTCAGAAACTATTTTTTAACTGTGGGGTTCGCTTTGGCTCTCTCATGTCGAGCATATGATGATAAGGAAAACTGCAAAGTGAAAAATATGTGAGGGCGAAATGAAAGGAGATGGGAAAATAGGAGTGGAAATGAGTGAGAGGAAAGGAAGGAATTAAGTAATAGAAGAATCACATTTTATGCTGTGAATGCTGACAAGAACAGAATGAAAGGGTTAGAAGCAGTGCCTGCGTTAGAATAAGGTGGTGACAACTTGTAAGGGAGAAAAGTCTGCCTCCCCCCGAACTCATAGGGTAGTTGAGGTAAGAGAAAAATCTATAAAAATGAAAAGTCATGACCCAAATCCAAGAGACACTAGGAAACTAAGCTGATGATGGCTGAGGGTTTTTAGCAGATCCAACTTCACCATGGAAATTAAGCTTTCACTGAATTTGCAAGTTTGTTCTATAAACTCTTCAATTTGTATCAGATAATTTAAAGAAAGCTTTTTGGCTTTCCTATGAGATAGAAGGGGGCTTCCCAGGTGGCACAGCAGTAAAGAATCTGCCTGGAGCCATAGGAGATGCGAGTTCAATCCCTGGGTCGGGAGGATCTCTTGGAGAAGGAACTGGCAACCTACTCCAATATTCTTGCTGGCATAGTCCCATGAATGGAGGAGCTTGGCAGACTACAGCGCGTGGGGTCACAAAGAGTCAGACACTACAGAGCCGCTGAGCACACACGCATGAGACAGAAGAAAGCCTGCCAGAGCACTTTGCACAAATGGGGGAGGTGAAGAACTTAATTCAAAAAGTAATTTTGCCACAGCTCATGCATGGATCTGAGAACAAATGGATGGGATATTCTCTGCAAGAGGGATCTATTTTTCTAAAGCTCTCAGTAGCCAAGTGCAGTTTACACTTTCACCCTCCCTCCCATATAAAGCCCCAAGGTCAGATGGAAAGTGAAAAACTGTTTAGTTGCATGTATCTTTGATATACACATTTGAACTCCTGGTCTTGTACTAGTTTACTGGTTTTATTCTTTATGCTTCAGTAATCGTCATGTAGTGAAGTCGCTAACTTCGCTGACAAGCTATGAGAAGAGAGGGAGCAGGTCTGTGTAGGGAGATGTTGACCCACCTTCTTAAATAATGGTGCGAAAAATAGGACTTCTTGAAGAAGATTCTCCATCACATGAATTTGCCTGATATTTTTCCCCTGTATGCATCTGCCGTTTTAATATTTCTTTTACAGTCATTTCTGGCTGATCCACCTCTACCTTCCTTCAAAGTTCAAGTCAATCCCACCACTTCCACAAGACATTTCCCAGGACTCCAGCTGGCATGTCTTTGGCACTCAGCTGTTTGTTCAGTCATGTCCAACTCTTTGAGACCCCATGGCACCATGCCAGGCTCCTCTCTTTATGGAATTTTCTAGGCAAGAATACTGGTGTGGATTGTGGTTTCCTACTCCAGGGGGTCCTCCTGACCCAGGGAACGAACCCACATCTCCTGAGTCTTCTGCACTGGCAGGTGGATAACTTTGCCACTGGGTCACCTAGGAAGCCCTTGGTATTCAGTAAGAGTTTCAGTTTTAAGTAGACTTATAGCCAGATTATAATGTCAGAGTGCCATGTGCAGGGCTGGGATGGTGGTGGCAATTAGGGCCACACTGTACAGAGCTGTGGGGTCAAACTCATTCAGTAAAGTCATCATCTCTGTTGTTGTTCAGTCACACAGTTGTGTATGACTCTGCAACCCCCATGGACTGTGGCACGCCAGGCCTCCTTGTCCCTGACTATCTCCTAAAGTTTGCCCAAGTTCATACGCATCGCATCAGTGATGCCATCCAACCATCTTATCCTCTGATGCCTCTTCTCCTGCCTTCAATCTTTCCCAGCATTAGGGACTTTTCCAATGAGTCAGCTGTTCACATCAGATGACCAAAATGCTGACTCCTCTTTATATTTCTCTTATTTTCTCACTTATTGGAGCTCTTTTTTCTCACTAGTTTAACGTCTACTTTGTTCTGTAAATCATACTGAAAGATCATGCCAAGAGAAACACAATTTGAAATTCCACTCATAAATATGCTTCTGGTTTTAACCAGTCAGACCTAGACTATCAGCGTGTGTTTACATGAGTATCTGAACAAAACCTGTAAATCTTAGGAAGGCAGGGTCTTTGTTTCTATGATGTTTATATTGTAGAGGAGGGGGTGATATCCAATCAGTTTTTGTTGAATTGAAACTAATTTTTGAAGGGGCACTGAGTGCTAAATGACCCTCACTTAATTTTCTAGAGAAAACAAGCTCATGAATGGAACATGTAAGTATTTTACAAAGCTCAAAGGATATTAAGAGGAAACAAAAATGAAATACTTTTCTTTCCATTATAGGGCTTTGGTGAAGGATAGCCATCACCATGTTATCAAAAGTTGCTGCCTGACGATTTAGCTACAGGAAAGAAAGGCTGTCTTTAACGAATTGTGAGTTGTTTCTTTAGAGACTTTGCTCATCAGGCACGAATTCTTACCTAGAGGATCAACACCCACAAGAGGCAAAAAGGCAGCAGGCATTCAAGAATAAAAATGTACTATCCGGATGCCCAATTTCTTCTCATGTCAGTCCTTTATGTTCTGGCTATTTCATATTGCTATTTAGTTGGTCCTTATTATAGTTTCATAATGGAAATGTGTTAAAGCATGAACTTTATCAGGGAATCATATGGAAATGTTCCAAAGGAGAGAAATGAGCCATGGGAAAGTTAAATGAAAATCATTTCTAAATGGTGCAAATTAGGAAGAAAATAACAGGGCTTAATAGGTCCACCAATACTAAGAAATGCCACTGAAAAATCTAAAACCTCTGAGAGAAGTAACATGTCATTCTCCTGCTAATGAGTCCTATGTGTTATTTCTTTATTGGGGAATGCTGTTTTTTATAATTTTGCATATCCAGAATCACATCTTAAACTCATTCATTGAGTCAGTCATTTTAATATTTATTAAGTAAACCTCTGCTTACTGTAACTGAGCAATTTCATTAGTACTGTTCTCTGATACAGCTCTCCAACTATAGACTGACTGGTAAAAACTTGCAGGCAGTGTTTCATTGGGGTTCAGCAGGTATCATTATTATATATCAGAGTCTTAGGGTTCAAGGGCTCAAATAAAGCAAATAATCCAACAATAACCACACACACACACAAAGCAAAGAAAGGAAAATTCACAGCCTCTAGTTTTCTGTAGCAATAATGTTTTGCTCCAGTAAAGCTGCCAGTCAAGACCCCATAGAGATCTTCATGCTTGAGACTCCATGCTAGGTACTGTGGCTACTTAGTAGAACCTGAAAATCAGTTCACAGGCCCAACTGAGATTAGAAATTCCTGCCAGTCAGAATCAAGGTCTGTCCCATTGAAATGTGAGAGGAAATGGCCTCCAGGCGTGTTAAGATCAGTAAAGCACTATAGGTTTCCTTCTCCTCAGAAATGGGAGTTCTAGTTGTTTTTGTTTAGTAGCTAAGTTGTGTCTCACCCTTTTGTGACCCCATGGACTGTAGCCTGCCAGGCTTGTCTGTGCATGGGATTTCCTGGA